CCCGCTACTTTCCCTCCCACTCTGTGGATGCCCAGAACCTCAGCTACTCCATCAGGACAGCAAACAAGACAGGAAAAAATGAAGGAATAACGTTCTCCAAAGGGTAACCCAGCAAGTGGATTTTCACATCTCCACCAGCGTCTCCCTCCTACTCCTCCCAGCCACGGGAGCATGTCTCCCTGCCCACCATCCCTTACCCTCCATCCTATTACAGACACAACAATCGATCATTTGTTTCCTGTCCTTGAGTCATTGCCAGCTTGTGACCTGCCGAGCTGGCTCCAATTCTTCACACTATTCCTCGTGGCTGGTTGTTTCCCCATCTCTCTGTGCAATAGCAAACATACATCGTCCACGACTTCACTCCCTGTCTTTTATCTTCCTCTCCATCTTCTGAAGGTGTGTTCATCTTTTAAATTCACATTTATGCTGGTTTTGAAGATGGTCCGTAGAAAAAAAGAGCCGGGGCTAGTTTATGGCAAGGTGGTTCACTCAATAAAAGTACAGAAAGTAAATGAATCCCCCAGATATCAGCAAGAATCAAGACTAAGGTAAGGAAAGCAGAGCAGGAAAACAGTTTCTTCCTTGGAAAAATTGATCCAAGTAGTTCTTTTTGACCTTTCACCCCTTCTGCTTTTGGGCAATTTGTCCAAAACAAAAATATCATAATTCATGAGAACAATTCACATGCATAAAAGAAATGGAAAGGCTGCTGTTTCCTCACTTCTTTTTTGTCCTCTCCTTGTTTTATATTGGAAACAGTGGGGGTGATAAATAAGCATGACAGAAGAGAAAGAAAACTACTCTAATCCTTTTTTTTTGCTCTTTTCCAAAGTTTTTTTGAGAGTTTTGGCTCAGTGTGTTCCTTTCAGTGTATTTTCCCTGTGCCCAGCAGAATTAGTGCTACCTCCCTGAAAAGCAAAGCAGGAATGGCCCCAGGAGGGAGGAGAGATGACTCTCCCCAGATATTATCTGGCAAAGACAATAGCTGTTTTGGGGATAAACAATGATATATTGGCTCCAGCTTCTTGCCAAAGCATTAGGTAAGCAATGTAGGACAGTGCAAATCAGCCCTGCCTATTCCTGGTTGCATCTGTGCCCCTTCACCTCCTAAATGTGCTGGTGCCCGAGGTGCCCTTTGCTGGCTGCTTGGGTGTGGGTGGCGTTGGCTGAAAATGGACGTAGCCAAAGGCAGACAGGTGGGGAGGCGAACTCAGTGACGAGTTGGGCTCTGATCCTCCCCTCCAGCCTCCGGACCTGGTTCTGCAGTGTCTGTATGTCCTTCATTTTCTGCAACCTGCACTCAGCCCTGCATTGCAGCAGCAGAGGAGTCCCCTCACTGCGCGGCTCCCGGAGCTCGGCGGGGGCTGCACCAACCTGCAGCTCACTCCGAGGTGGAGGGGAAAGACGGGGAAAGGTCCCAGGGATCCCACAGCCCCATCTCTCCAGCAGAGGTTTCCCCAATCCAGCTCTGAAGGCTGCCCAAGGGCACTGGGAAGCCCCTCTGTACCAGAGCAAACTTCTCAAGCAAAGAAACTCATACTTTCTACTAGGCTTAGAGTGAGGCAACCTCTATCAATGTTTCAAGATATATATAAATATATTTAGGATCATCTATATTTCTGTGTTCTGCAAAGCTCTTCTGGACCGACAGACAGATACTCCTTTGACAGAGTCATGCCAGCAATGCAATCCCAGGCTGATGGGATTAAAAACTGTCATGTCAGATTTAGGGGATTTTGTTTCTGATGTCCTTCTTCCACACGTGCACCCCACAAATGGAATAGGGAAACAAGCACAGGCAAACCTTTGGAACAGCCTCTTCATTGTGGCACGAAGCAGAAAATGTTGGGTGCCAAATTTTTTACTGCAGTGTAAATTAAAATGCCTGGACTAAGATGATAGACACATTTCATGGAGATCGGTGCAGCCTCCTGCCTGTTAGGAGACATATTAGAATAAAGAGCAAATGATTCCTGAGAGCAGGGTCTGATTGAGGAAAAATAAAATAAAATAAACTGCAACCAAGGGGGAATCAGGAGACTGGTGCCAAGGTCTCTCAAAACCTTTGGATGGTTTGAAGGGGCTGAAGGAGGCTTGTGGCTCTCAAGCATGAATGCAGCCCATGCAGACATGCTGCAGATATTTGTCTCTGCAAGTGTGATTATACTCCAAAAAGTGACTTGCCACTACTACCCTGGTGGGATTCTAAGCTTGTAAATTCTAGCTAATTTTCCAGGTAAAAAAAAAACAAAAACATAAAAAAGTGAAGGAGCTTAGTTTCTTTCTTATTATTTGTGTGGTTGTTTTTTTTTTCTTTACTTGCTTGCTTTCTGCCTGGCAGCTAAGCAAGCTCACCTTGGGATCTGGGTGTGAGGAGGAGTGAGGAGGAACCATAACTCTTCCCATCAGTGGGACACAATGATGGGAAGGGAAGCAGCTCCTGCCCTGAAATCACTGCTGGATGTCTATGCCATGCTAACAGGGCCACAAGGCGGTAAGAGATATATTTTATCCCTAAAGTCAGCAGATCTCAGGTTGAACATGCAGATCTGCAGGAAGCTGATGGGTTTGGCAGGCACGTCTGATCTGTGAATGCACTTTAACCTGACTGAGTTCAATATCAGGACATGGCAGGGACCATCTCACTTGTGGTCCAGCGGATGGCGATGGCAAAAATCTGGATTAACACTTAACCAGAGCTCATCAGGGAAAGAGCCTTTTTTCCAGACCAGAGAGGAGTTAACGAGAGTCTCCAGGGTTTATACGTAAGTATATCATGGGGTTTGGGCTGTTTGGGTCATTTCTTTGATGTGACAGTTAGGTTGTTCAGGGATGATGCTCAACTCCTCTAAGCCAGAAGTTTCTATGGCTTTGATTCAGGTCCTCAAACTCCTTATGATTCCTGCAGCTCCCAGCATGCTGCTGAACCCTCAAGCTGGTTTGAGAGCAGACACTGCTCCCATAACATTGGGAACCAGTCTCCCTGCTCTGGCACAGCAGCTCAGCATTCCCTAATCCACTATTTCTACTCTGGGCATGGTTTCTGCCTGGCACTTTTGGGGATGAAGTCCCATCTTGCAGCATTGCACACATGTGAAATTCGGGCAAGAGGAGCAGGAGCAAAGAATTTAACAGGAGTCATTTTCAGCAACCAAGCTGCACACACTTGTATATTTTTTCATGTTTGCATACAGTGTGCTCGTTGCTGACAAATGTATGTATTTATTAATTCACACCTGACCTGATCCCTGCTCCATGCTGCCAGGCCCAGCCATGTGGGTCAGCAGCAGGGACCAGCTTTTAGTATTATTTCCCCCAGTCGTGTGTGAGCAGCACTTGCCATAGAGGCTGCAGCCTCACACTCCCAGTGAACTGTAAAACCAATTTAAAAACGACATTTCACAAATTAATGCAATGCCCACTGCAATCACACCTTGGGCTGCTGAGGAGGCATATTCCAGCCTGGAATTTGTTACCTGGCCAGGCCATTTGTCACTGCACAAGAAGCAAAAACTTCCCCACCTTGTAGCCCCTCTGTGCAAGGACAAGGTAGGAGTACAGACAGGCAAAGGGCAGCTCCTGCCATCCTCTGCTTGGATGTTGTTTTAATCCTGCTCCCAGTTCTTTGGAGTCAGTAGCATGTGCTCTAAGTTTGCAGGTAAAAGTTGGGTTTTTTTAGCAACAACTGCAACAATCAGCCCTTTGGCACCACCTCACTCTCTGACAAGGTTTGTCAGCAGGAGATGTCAAAGGGTTCCCCAAAGAATAATTTAGAAATTGTGAATAATTTAGCTGTTGCATGAGGAAACTGAGGCGAGGCAAAACTTGCCAGGCCCCAAGGTGCTGGGAGGGGGCCAGGGGATGTGCATCCCATGGGAGCTGTGCCATGGAGCAGCCGGCTCGGCACGGCTCGGCGGCGGGGTGCCGCCAGCAGCAGCCACCCCACTCCCAGGAGAAGGTTTTCAGAGACCATTAGGTGCCTAATGATGCAGGCAGACACCTGGTGCCATTTACACTGGGAATGAGGTGCTTTACATGCCTCGGCACCTCTGGAAATCCCACTAGGCATCTACCTGCAGCTGTAAGCGTCTGCAAAAGCCAGAGCATTTTCAAACTGCTGCCTGGGAGGCTGCTCTGGGCTGTACAAAGGGTTGTTTTGGCTGCAGACGTGGGTCTTCAGCATGGGAGGGAAGGGCTGGAGGGCACCACGTATCAACCAGTCCCTTATAAGAAACACCCATCGCCCCAGGCTTCCCTCTGGCAGCCATCCACAGGGTCCCAAATATCAGCTGCTGCCCACAGACCTGTCACCATGTCTAACCCACTCTTCCAACATTGCCTTGGGTGAGTTTTATAGTTTTTGAGGAAGAGTTTAGCAAAACCTCTGTCCCTTTTGCACAGCCACTCCATACCTTTGCCCATATCTGCTTATACCTCTTACACCTCCAGCCACAAGGTCCACTTCACAGACAGAGGCAGGCAATAATCCCTGTGGATGAGAGTTGGCTGAATGCCATGCCTGGACATCCTTCCCAGGCTCATAAACCTCTTGTTGGGTTTACAAACATTGTGGCCAGCAATTTTGCCAGAAGCTCTCAGGAGACCCCAGCTGGAGTGTGGTTTGGATAACAAATACTTGTAGCCTGGGAGATCAAGTGGCTCAGAAAGGGGATGCGTGGGGCAGTTTCATAAATGCTCTGGCACTTCTCCATTTTCCATGTGCTCCCATATTCCAGCAACAAGCAAAACCTGGATCCCCGCTTTGCAAAGGTTCTCACAACTTTGTGCCTGCACTCTGCCCCTGCTGTGACCCCCCCTATCAGACCTCAGCCCAAACCTACCTTGCTAGACCTGCCCCAGCCTCATCAAGCTGGAAAGCCAATAATCCAGTAATTTATTTTTAAGACAAATAATTCTAGGTGATTCCATTAATATGGAATTTATTTCAACACTATTTGGCAAAAAGGAGAAGTCACACCTCCTGGTATATGGTTTATTTTCCATGTTTGTGTAAAGCAGGCAGAGAAAAAGAATGGCTACAGTAACTGTAAAATAATCTATAAGGCAGAGTGTGTCTCCTCATCTTCTTTCAGAAGGTTTTATTCAGCTCAGGCTTTCTATATGATACAGTGATGAATGAAATACCTGGGAACAGTACAAAGTAACATTATTTATGGAGAATAGTAAAAGAGCATTCTGTTTCTTAGCATACAATTTCGGTAACAGCAGAATTTTGAGACTAAAATGAGATTCCCCTCCCATCATTTCAATTCATACCAAACTTAAAAACAAGTCTTATGCAGAAGTGGAGTTGACTTGGTCTTCCCAATGTAACTTGTGTCTTTCAAACATTCATTCCTTGAAAAAGGCAAGGACTGGAAGACCATGATCATGGGCTGAACATCCCAGCTGTCCTCTGCACTGCATTAATTTTCTCATCAATAATCCCTAATCATCCATAAAGTCATACCCCACCATCACCTGGGACATTTAAAACTAAACTGAACAAAGAACTGGCCTTTATCACAGCTCATTAATTTGGTGAGCCCAAATCTTGATCACTGCAAATGACTGCCACAGCTTCAAAGATCATTTGACCTATCACTGCAAGGATACTGTGTTTGGGATGGGTACCTCCCTTCAAAAACTACTCCTCCTGGCTCCAAATTCAATAAGCCCTTTGCAAACATGCTGAAAGTTTGAGCTGGCTGGTGCCAGTTGACTTTAGCAGCACATGTCCTGGTATCTCACTGGATCAGGGCCCCCACTCGGCTGGGCTTTATTTAGAATATCATGGAATCATAGAAAATTTGGGTTGGAAAGGACCTTTAAAGGTCACCTAGTCCAGCCTCCCTGTAACAAGCAGGGAAACCTTCCACATGCCTCATGCTTGCTAAGCCTGGGATGAAAACTCTTTTACCCTTTTTTTTTTTTTTTTTGGTTTGAAATGGTTTGTTTGCTAGTAAATTCACAGTACGGCTGAGGTAGCACATTTGTGTTGTTAGGTACAAAGATAATGGAGGATTAAAATGCTGACAAGTGTGTAGAGAGGAAAATGATTTGGTTACCTCTTAGCGATGCAGCAGCAGCTGGAGTGAGCCCTGCATCTGTGGCTGCTTCCAGGCAATTACTGCTTCCCTCCCAGCGCTCCTGACAAATGCTGCTGCTCTCCTGCTTTGAACTGTCAAACGCAAAAGTTGCCATGAGAAGTGGTTTCCCTCCTTCGGCCTTTCTTTTAGCTTCTCTGTGATCAGTTTGGAGTATTTCCACAGGGAAAAATCCAAGTATTTCCACGGTGGAAATTCCCCAGGGCAGGAGGGGGAGTTGAGCCTCAGCACTCAGTGCCTTTCTGCACTTTACAGACTTTCTCATAATATACACCAAATTACTTTAGCACTATCTTTAATTCTATTTTAATAATATCTTCAATTCGAGAGTTTCACACACACACGAGGTCAGCTCTGGTTTAGTGTGGTTTTCCCGGTATTCCCCCCGGCTGTGCCAAGAGCCCATTACTCGGGTGAATGAACTCCCCTTTGGGCCAACCATCGCCTTCCTTCTGCCACCTCCAACTCTTGAAAAAACAAACACGGGCTCCCTAAGTGCAATTAGCATCTGAGGAATGCTGAGAGAGGGAGATTAATCATTCATAAACTAAACAAATACTGTTCTGATCCCATTAGCCAAGAGACAGCGTCTCCCGTTAATTTACTTCTGTTCGAGGTGTATCTATTAACCCCTTTTAATCAGCTATTATTCTAGTTAAACTCTTAGCTGGGCTTGGTTATCAGAGGATGGTACCCTTCTGACATAAGATCAAATTAAGATTATGGAAAACTTGTCAGGAATGAAGAGCCTTGCATTCGTAATTAAGATATAACCTAATTAAAAAAAATGAGGTATGCTTCCGAGGAGGGCCCCGCAGCACTTCTCCTAAGCATCCTCTTCCCTCCACTGAGGTCTCTCTGCTGAATTTTGTCAGCCTAAACTCAACCAGACAGGTGTCATCATCCTCTGCCTTAATGTGCTCACCCCCGTGACACGCACAGCTTTTCTCCATGGCTTCCTTTGTACCTACGACAGAGCTGAAAATCTAATTTTTTAAAAAATGTCTAGAGAGGCACATGAAGTTAATACACTTACCAGTTTGCAGCCCTCCACTTAAAGTCAATTACTGGCTGTGGACCTGTATGTCCCAGCATTGGGGCTGCCTGCCATGGGACAGGATTGCCCCGCCTCCTCATTTAGGGAGTACGTTGTCCAGGGGAAATTTAATATTTTAGACTACTGGTAGCGGTGTATTAGATCTCCAGGATTCTGAGGTCATCTTCAGTGAGTAGCTTCTTTCTGCCCACATCCATGAGCAGGAGCACTTGGTGAGCTGGGAGGAGAAGTGTGTGCCCTGGAGTTGCTGCCGGCGGCGTGATGCCGCTGGTTGTGGCACTGATGCTGGGTCAGATGGAGCAGCCAGGCTAAGCAGTGCAGCAGAAGATGCTCTCCTGCACTGGGATCACTGCTCTGTGTCTAATGCCCTAAGGGAATACCAGCAGAGCAAGGGTCCCTGCCTGTGAGCGGGCACCAGCCGGGTGCTGGCTTTGCTCCAACGCGTGCATCAGTTATTCAGCCCGAAAGTGAGCGGTGAGAGGAAAAGGCTGTGTCCTGTGTCACGAAAGGCAGTGCTCACCCAACACCCAAATTTTCCACTTCTGTGTGCATGGTACTGCCAGAGCAGAGCTGGCTTTGCTCAGTGGGCAGTCCCAAAGGGGCTGAGGTTGAGCTCTGGGAGAGGACAGCCCTGCGTCTGCAGAAGCAGGGGAGTTGCTCTGAAAATAAGCATTTTGACTAAATTGCTCAGTTTCTATTTTAAAAACCAGAACAGCTCAAATGAATTTCATTTTCCTCCATTTGAGACCAGAATTTTAAGAAAAATTTGCAATTTAAGCCTGAAAATCTTAGTGCCAATTACATCCATTTCCACACTGGGGATCACTTCCGTGATGACTCCACGCAATAAAACCAAATAAAGGAAAAGGAGGAAAGTCTCACCTGGGCTGCCCAGCTCCCAATTAGAAAAAGGTAAATAACTCTTGTTTTCTCTCTCTTGCTTCCTGGGCTGTGATGGCTGATGAGACTGGTGAGATGAGAGCCCTCCCTTCTTGCTTCAGTGCATAAATACTGCATCTTCAGGGATTCGCTTTGGTTAATTTAGGAGCTGCTTGAACTTTGCTTAAAGGCGCCTGCGTGTTACTATCCCTTGGAGTCGCCCGATGTATTTGTCATAGCTGAACCTGCAGTTCATTAGAGGTACAGAGTCAGCTAATTATTCCCAGAAAATGTAGTATAATTTTATGAATTATGCATAAAATATTAACTACTTGTGAAGTTCACAGATATATATGTAGAGACTGCAGGGCAAATGCTTCCCCACTTGAGGGCTATATACAAACTGGAAACAAATAATACATATATTTAATCTAGAGTGGCAGGCTGGGAGGGCACACACCAAAGAAAGAGTGTCTGGGGAACAGTGTCATGGAGATGTGGAATCCCCTCCAGTGCTCAGCTGTGGAAGGGGCTGCCAGGCTCAGCACTTCCCCAGGCTGGAGTTTACAGTGAAGTCCCAGTCGACGGAGCCTCAGACTCTAAGCCAAGCTGGTTTGGGAAGGTCTGTGCTGAATTGCATGGATATTGGTCAAAATACTGCCTTTTTCTGGCAGAGGGGTTCTGATGCGCTGGATCTGTTGGCAGGTCCATCCTTCTCTCAGGCTGGGTACACTGGAAGGACAAACCCGCACCACTCTCAGCCCAGGGGGAAGCCCTCCCCTCCCACAGGCACAGCAGCAGGACATGATCCATGATTTGATCCATGGACACTCACTCCAAAGATGCAGATCAGCAGCAGCAGTCCTCCTCTGACAGATACTCATTTCAGAGTTCACCAGCATGCTTTGGAGACATAAAAATCAATAGAAGAGAGGGAACAATAAAGTTTCATTGTTCAGTAATGAGGTAGACAGCATCTATCACAAACTCCTAAAGTGCTGCTTGTGCAGGATTCTCCTCCACTGTCTCCTCCTGGCTGGAGATAAAGAGCGTCCGGCGCTGGAGCTGGACCTCAGCTAAATAAAGATAAGCTTAGCTGAGAGCAATAGGAATTCTGGAAGCTGAGTTTCCCTCCATGGCCAGACTTCATCGCTTCTTCCTCTTGCATGCAGTATTGTAGCAGCATCCCAATACTTTCAACTCAAGATCTGTAGATGGTCACTGAGTCTCAAACCTTGACCTCTGAGTGGTCCGTGGGTTTGCGCAACTATTTAGTCTATTCCCACCACGAGGGTGTCCACGTTGCCATTGCAGCAGGTGGTACAGCAGACAACCTCTGTGCACACCAGGTGCCAAGGGACTGGCAGGGGTGGGAAGATGTGGCTCTCTGGAGAGAAGTGAGGGCAGCAGAGAAGCCACCCCAAACCCTTTAGCACCAAGGACGCCAATGCAAGTTATTAATATTTCTAAACTTTTGAGAGACAAGAAATGGAAGGAAAGGGTGATATTTGGAGAGCAGTTATAGAGGGATGGCTGGATATGTGGAGGCTCAGAAAGGAAGAAAAGCCTGAGGGAGGTCAGCACTGGAGCTGGACCAGCTGCATGCAAAGGGATAGTGAAGGAAACACAGAGGTAAAAAGAGACCCAAGACTGGCAGCAACAACAAGTTTGTCCTAAGGTGCAAAACCCTGGGTGCTGTACAGAGAACTCCATTATGTGATATCTGGGGGCCCATGGAATGCCAGAGTGGTATTTCAGAGCTCAGTGCAGGGGTTGGGCACTGGCAATGCAGGTTCATGTTCTCAGTTCCATCCTTGGGAATCCCCAGCTGCCTTCCCACCTTCACCAGAAGCATCACGCAGAAAAGCATTTCTTCCCTACACCCACAGCAACCTTTCTAAAACAAGTTGTGCTTCATTTAGTATTATTTCAATATAACTTTAAGTCATCTGCTTTTTTTCTCTCCCCCCAACCCCCACTTTTTCTGCTGAAGAAGGGGAAATGAGCTGCTGGTTTCATGGAATTCTTTATGCTTTACCCAGAAAAACCTTAAAAACCTGAGACAAGGCACATGCTGCAGCATCCAGGGGAACACAGGCTTGTCTCTCTCTTCTTGGTGACCAGCTCCCTTTTACTGTCACGCTAACAGGCAGAAATATGCAGTCACTCTTGCTGCATATTCTGGCAGGGTTATTGTCAACTTATTATTTTTTGACTCAAAGCCAAAAACGAAGGGCATTTGCATCTTGCAATTTTGCTGTTTGCTTGTCTTGCTTATGTTGCTCGAAATGACCTACAAGGAGTCAACAGCAGGCAGCTAGGACACTACGGGAGTGGAAAAGAGATGAAGCTGGGAAGTTCATATCTCACCCTGAAACATCACACAATATTTAGTTATTAGGAAGGGAGCAATTAAAAAGCACATGGATGTTTCATCTATAAATTTATTCTGAATTTTCAGGGGCTTGTGTCATAACAGAACACAAATGGGATTTGGATTTCTCACTGGAAAAAAGAAAAAAACAATTAAAATAAATACAGCAACCAGATGCTGGACCTGTACATGGAGATGACTCTCATTAACATCCATGCAGTCAATGCAGAGAAAGGAACCACCTTGCTTCCTTTCCTTTGTTTTATCTTATACCCTATTTTAGCAACATTTTTTGTCATCTTAAAGTCTGAGGATACTTTATTGGAGGGCAGCAGAATTTACATAGATGTGATAATGAAACTGCACAAATATAATTTACTGTAAGTGGCACTGGATTACATAACAAAGAAAAGGTGAGGGTCTTCGTGAAATACTGCCTCTCACAAAAAAAAAAAATGTCCTGAGAATGATATCTTCTTAAAGACAGTTTTGCATAATTGCTTTGTACATCTGACAGGGCTGGAATATACTTTTTCTTTTAGGTGTGAAAGCCTCAGCATTGACTGAAAGAGTGGTGCACTCTGCAGTCTTTGGTGCAATGCCTGGTGCATTACGCTCACGCTGCGAGACACCTCCTCTCTGCTTATGAAATGGTTAATTTTCAAAGATAAGAAGAGTTGCTGTACAGCAATCAAATGGAAGCTAATGCACACCTAAGGCTGCAGGCAGCAGCTCTCTGAGCTGTTGGCATTGCATGAAGAGTGAAAGAAAGAAATAAAAGAAACCTGAATGTTAGCTGTACGGAGAAAATATTCTCTATCCACACACCTCTCTGCTCTGATGGTAATAAAACTTTACACATGTGTTGGCATTGGCCTGTTCTCTTCCAGTCTTATTGCAGGCATCGGAGAACCAACAAAAGACAGAGGGGTTAAAAAAGGACTGGTTTTGCAAGAGGGGGGTTCCTTCTCACCTGTCTCCTCCACAGGAGCAATCTTATCAAAGTCCCAGAGTTATTTTCTTGCATGCAGGCAGAGGGACTTGATGGAGGAGGAGAGCAATAGGGACAGGCAGCCTGCAAATTATGTGGGTGCAGGACACATGTATCGAGACACTGTGCAGTGAGCCCCAACTCACTGCACAATTCAGATGCACTGAGCCATCAACACAGATGCAGAACACCTATAACTTCATCTGTTTCACTGCCTTCAGATGCTCTGGTGAAAGCAAAAGCAGAATCCAAGTGCTGCAAACGCTCAACCCCCTGTTACCCGTAAATCTCTCCTTGAAATGCCTGATCTCATCAAAGGTCCATTTCCAGGTTTCTGTGGTTGTCCCCTTGTGCCACGACCCGTCACCAAAGTCAGCGATGCCCTGGTGACCTTTGTCTCAAGGTCACAATTTTATGAACTTGGTAAATGTGTTTCTTATTCCTCTTCTTTTGAACACTTTTCTAGTGACACCCCTGGAAGGCAGCCTTACACTGCAGCTGTCTTGTGGGATTAATCTGGAGGATTTTTCAGGTTGGGTTGCTTTTCTCAGGCTATACTGTTCTTGCTGGGTGGCATCTTACTGAGTAACATCATTTCGAGGCAGGTCCCATTGTCTGTTCCAGGTTTGAAAGCAACTGGGAGCAGGACGGAGTGAGAGGCTGCTAAACAAGGCTCTCACACTTAATTATCATCAGGCAAAATTAAATAAAAGAGAAATGTTTATGCAGTTAGCAATTACTGAGCACAACATTCATCAAGCGGCTTGGGCAGATCCCTTTGGCTGATGCGGAGGATCCGTAGGAGACACGAAGTGCTTTTAGTTCCCTTCTTCTGTGAAAAACTCTCTGTACCCTCCACTTTGTGATTATTTATTTCTGAGGTGAGTAATTATCAACTGTAGGGAGAAAGCTGCTGCAGTGTGAAGCACAGCGAAGCTCCAAGGGGCGGGAGGGATGCACATGGACGTGCCCTGCCAATGTCACCCAAGGCCACCTGCAGCTAGAACAGTTCTTCTAAAGACAGGCAAGCCCCAGAAGGGAACAAAGTGAGGGATCACAGTGTGCTTCTCTCTTTTAGAGCCAATGGGAGGCTAAAATGGCTGCTCCACCCAAGGGGCAGGGATGCTGAAGCATCCCAAAGGACTTTCCTTGCCCCGTGAGTGGAGTAGAAGGCTGAAGGTGGTTTGCAGTCAGTGTACACAGCCACAGCTTCCCTTAAAGGATGTCCCACCCCTGGCTGATGAGAGTGTGGTCACACACAGGTCATTTTAAAACACAGTATCTGCAAAAATCCCTCCTAAAAATAGCGAGCCAGAGGAACAGCATGAGGTGCCTTATCCACCGGCAGTTTTGCAAGGGAGACAAGTCCCTGGGTGGCTCCCTGGGAAAGAGGGACCAGGACCAGCTTTGCAGGCAGCCCCCAGACACCCATCACTGACTCAGCAACTTCAGGCAGCAGAAAAAAAATGATTCCAGGAGGTTAAATTGATTTCCAAGGAGGTCCAGCAAACCTGACAGCCTCTGAGTGGCTCAACTTCATTTAAGTTATTTCAAGGCAATTCCAGGAGGGCAAAGAGGAGAGCAGCACGGGGAGCCACCGGCCGCCAGCCTGCTCTTAAAGAGCACAGTCACATTTTCCCAGGTTGTTCTCTTTTCTGCTTCTTCCTCAAGGAATAAAATCTCTTGCAGAATGAAATCTCTTCCTTTCCCCCCCCCTTACTTTTTCATGCCTGTGTGGATGC